GCAACCAACGTACGTGCCCTTGACCGGAATCGAACCCGGGACCTTTCAGTCCGCAGACCGATGCTCTACCGCTGAGCCAAACCGGTTTTGGCATGTTGTTTGTCACTTTCTTGATGTCTTTGCTAAAACTGGCATTGATTTCATCCTTTTTTCTGGGCCTTTGATGCAGCATGATCCTCAGATGGAGCTAGTGAATTCGACCTATTTCCTTCCGACCTTAACTCCCTGGAAGAGCTGAGTTCATTTTTTTTTTTTTTTTTTTTAAGTGTTGTCACTATTTAAGAACCTGCTCACATACTCCTAGCATAACAACATGATCTTCCTCTGGAGCTTCCACCGGAACTAGAGGCCCGGTGCACAAATTCGTGAATGGGTGAGGTCCTTCAGCATGGCCTGCGGGGATTGGGCCAAAACCGGTAGTCCATCCCCGCCTACTGCTCCCGCTCATCCCGGCCCCGCTGCACCTTCCCAGCTGTACTTCATGTCAAAAACGTCCCTGTTCAGCCAAAACCGGTTTGGCTCAGCGGATAGAGCCTCGGCCTGCGGACTGAAGGGTCCCGGGTTCGATTCCGGTCAAGGGCATGTACCTTGGTTGCAGGCACATCCCCAGCAGGAGGTGTGCAAGAGGCAGCTGGTCGATGACTCTCTCTCATCGACGTTTCTAGCTCTCTATCTCTCTCCCTTCCTCTCTGTAAGAAATCAATAAAATATATTTTTTTTAAAAAAAGAATAAGTCCCTGTTCATTGTAAGGTGGTTAGCAGCTCCCTGACTTCTTTCTACCCATTACATCAGGAGTAACTTCCCAGTTGTGACATTCGTAACGATTGCCAGATATTTCCAAGTGTCTCCTGAGAGAGGAAATCGCTCCTGGTTGGGAACTGTGGACCTAACCCTATGTGTTGAAATTTCACAGACAGACAGATATCTGGGAGGCAGGATAAGTGAACACCTAGGGTTATATTTAGAAAAGTTTGGACTTCCTGCCGTGCCACAGTGAGTTCAGAGACAAGATGGGAATTGGTTTGCTCTGTGACTGTATGTTTTCTATCAAGCTGAGTTTCATACCTTCTTTGTAAGTACACATTCCTCTAGAAACACCAACTTATGTAAAACCGTATCTTCCAGTGTTTCCTTTTCATTTATGAAGCGTAAAAATTTCTGGCAAGGGTTTTAACTCTGACACCTTGTCTAGCAAAGCCTCAAATGCATTTCCTAATAGCATGGAGAGGTATGTTACTTCTTAACATAGTAGCACAGTCAGTTTTGCTATAACACAACACATATGTTCTTAAAAGTCACCCCACTGTGCAAAATTGGGCAATGAAAAGCATGGGGCTTCTGTTAAAAATGGGTTTCAGAGCGTACCACTCAGAAAAGTTCATGAGTCGCACGTACAGATAAACGCAGGAACCTAATTAAAGTGGTTGCACCATTTCACACACATTAAACAGATAGGAAATACAAACAAACACACACTGCAAATACACTTTGCCTTGAAAAAGACCTGCAGTTTGCTTGTGGAAATGGACATTGCAAGGGCTTCCGCGTGTGAGTTATTGGGAAGTGCTGGAAGTAGGGATGTATGAAATTAGAAAGTTGTATCACGTAAGGGTGAGTGTGCTTCATAAAACAGGCAGTGACCTCCCGTCGCTGGCTGATGGTTGAAGTTGTGCGATGTGAGATGTGTGTGCACCCGTGTGGCTGGAATTCTGTTGGGTGCAGTTTTCTGCATTCTCCTGGAGTTTCCCACAGACAGGTTCACGCGTAAACAAATATGGAATTTATATGATGCTCGGACTGTTCCCTAATAGATGAATCACACTGGAGCACACTGCTGCACAAGTATTACAGTGAAACCGATGGTACTCCTGATCTGAATGTTGAGGCCCTTCAAAAAAACCAACAGCAGCCGGGACCAGTTTGGCTCAATGGATAGAGCGTCGACTTGGGGACTGAAGGGTCCCAGGTTTGATTCCGGTCAAGGGCATGTACCTTGGTTGCGGGCATATCCCCAGTAGGGGGTGTGCAAGAGGCAGCTGATCGATGACTCTCTCTCATCGATGTTTCTAACTCTGTATCTCTCTCCCTTCCTCTCTGTAAAAAATCAATAAAATATATTTAAAAAAAAAAAAAAAAAAAAACCAACAGCAACCAAACTCGTGACATAAAATTTAAAATCTGAAAAAATTCTTCAGATTTTAAATTTTATGGAAACCTCTTGTAATCTTGACTAACTATAACTTAAAATATATCATTGTACATATTTTTGGGATTTAACATTTTAGAAAATGTACTTCATTTGTGTGTGTGTTATTTCATAACCAAGAGCCAGATTTTAGGAATATTGTATAAGTCGGATCAAATGAGTAAACATTTAAGAAAACTTGTTAGTTTGCTGTGTGTTAATAATTAGGTAAATATATTAGGAAAGACTATTTCGTTTATTAAAAACAATAAAAGACCTCAGAGTGTTCTTAGAGATTTTATTGAATTATGTTAATTTAATACAAGAACATTAAGTAGTAGAAGAAGAATGTAAAAATATTCAGATTTGATGTTGGTTTTAGTCACTGGTCTTTTACCTAAGATGGAATATTGAAATTTTTATTTAGTTTTATTTTAAGATGAGATGATAAAAATGTTAATTTTATTGAAATAGTGCCCACTTTTAGGAAAGAGACTGTTTGGGCTCCATTTTAATCATTCCTTTAATTAAATTTCTTCATTGTCAGCCGAGACCGGTTTGGCTCAATGGATAGAGCGTCGGCTTGGGGACTAAAGGGTCCCGGGTTCGATTCCGGTCAAGGGCGTGTACCTCGGTTGCGGGCATATCCCCAGTAGGGGGTGTGCAAGAGGCAGCTGATCGATGACTCTCTCTCATCGATGTTACTGTCTATCTCTCTTCTTCCTCTCTGTACAAAATCAATAAAAATATATTTAAAAAAAGTTTTTAAATTTCTTCATTGTCCTACACCTTGTCTAATGGTTACTTAAATCTATTTAGTGTTCAGGAAGTCATTGTAGTCTCTTAGCCCAATAATTACTGCAGAGCTATATTGTTATCATTTAGAGCCTCTCGAATATTAGGATTAGAGTCTACTGTATCCCTCCCAGGAGAAATGACATAGCATGGGGAAATGATGGGAGATATAGGGGGGGTGTTTGTTTTCTCTTGGCAGTATTGGTTTTCATAAAAAGAATTTTCATGTTTCTGTTCTATCACTAAGCCAACTCTAGCTCTTTAATGCTCGTTTCCAAGGAGACGCTTTAAGGAAAAAATAGCTATTCTCCATTTTTCCATTATTAGATAATCTAATCCCTGTCATAGGTTATGTTTCCCTCTTCTTCCCACAGTGTTTCATACTGTTTAAATATCAGAATTTACATGCCTTGACACATTCATAGTGGTCATCACATTTGAGTATTTCAGTATTTTCCAGTTATCTCCAGAGGCTATACTTCCTGTTATTCTGTCACCAATGTATTGCTTATTACATAAATTTATTTCCACTATGGTACTGTTTTTAAATCAATAGGTAAGAGAGGCACTTGCTTATTTTTTTATGTAATAAAAATACCACCCGAATAAATATCTAAAACCCACTAAATCTTAACACTTATTGGGTATGTTTTTATAAAGACAAACCACCACAAAAAAAAAAACAACTGATATAGTAATAGAAGCTTATTATTGTCTACCAATCATTCTACTGTGACAACAGTCAAATGTATAATTTTTTTAAAAACTATAACCCTGTACTTTTTCTTCTATATGGTATTAGTTTTATTTAATGGCTAGAATTTCAAGTACAGAGCTACCAGTAAAATATTAATGGCAGTTAGGATTTGGAAAAGGAACTTAAGTGTCTAAAGTTTGCCAGAAAGTTTGTGGCTTGTGGTTGCAGAGTTCCCAAAATTCAGCGCACATGTAATAATCTTTGAAGATTTAAAAGCAGTATATGATATAACATTTTGAAATTCTTCCTTGTAATGAAAGTAAATCTTCTAAGTTAAAGCATACCAATGTTAGGTTGTTTTATGGATAAAACCCAATGGAAAAAAATGTTAATTTTAACATGATGATATGTGTTCTATGTCAATGTATACTGCATATTACTTTGGGCATCTAATATCTTTGGCTTAGCTAGATAAATAGTTAGGGATATTTTCTACTCTCATTTCAAGAAAACAGTAGAATACCTAATCTTATCACTCAACCTTGAAAGAATAGTATTTCTTATGCAAAGGTCTTACCCCCCTCCTCCCCCAAAATAGTAATTCTTTTATTCACTTGATCTTAGCCAAAAGGGTGAGAAGTGATGTCATCCTTAAATTCAAAAAAAACTTTTTTTCAGCACACATAACAAGTAGATTTTTCTTTGTTTCTGTTTTTACATTTTATTTAAAATTTTTATTTTCTCCTGCAGATTCCACTTTTTTATAGCATATTTTCCTCAAATATCACAAAAAACAATCCCATTACATTATTTATATAGCAATTCTTTTATAAAAAAAAAAACAACGTAAGTTACTGCTCTTCAAATGGTACTATTTATTAGTGTGCTAGTGCCCTTATAGTAGTACTGTTAATTTCCCTCCATATGTGAATTTTAGCATTAAGTGCTTAAATTGAGATACAAAGTAATGGAGGTGGGTAGATACCACTACTCACTTTTGTGGCCTACGTATCAAATGTAAAGTGCATTGATCGTGGAAACAAATCAACTTTATTTATAAAATAGTGGGAAGAAAGAATTGAGGTTAGACTAGAGGGTTGAGCTTATCTGTATTGTAAAACTGTAAGTGACGTTTACATGTGTACACACAGTGGGTAGTAAAAAGCTATATTTCAACAGCTATGGGTTTGAATTTCATCTTCTTTTATTCACTAACTTCAGTGTTTTACTAGAGAAGTGGCTATTTTGCTATAAGAATATTAGGAAAATGTTTGTAATGATGAAAGTACATACATACATTTTCTCTTTCTCTTTTCCCTCAGCCACAATGAAAGGAAAGTGACCTGTAAACACCCAGTCACAGGACAGCCATCACAGGACAATTGTATTTTTGTGGTGAATGAACAGTAAGTACAGATTTTCGTGGAATGCCTCTGTTCAAAATGGCATTCGCATTGCGATTGCTGTTACCCATATTCTACTTAATGCAGTGCAATTCAACAGTTTTCTTATCTGGATATGTGCAGTCAAGTATAATAACAGAACGACATCTGTTTATTTTGTGTGGTTTAGAAATATTACCCAAAAAAATGTTTTTATTATAAGGAATATAATTTCAAAAGATATGTATCCAGTAGTTCAAAAAGAGATATTTCAAGAGCCCAGTGTGTTAGGTCAGAGGCTATAAACTTGGACAGACTATGAAACTAATTTGACCTCAGTTTCCTCATCATTAAATCAGAGATAGTGGTAATTACCATTTCTCAGGATCTTTATAAGCATCGAGTGAAATATGTGTGGAAATATCTTATACTAGGATTCTGTTCACAAATATTAGTTATCGGTATCGCTGTTATTGTTTTCAGTATTAAATAGCTAATCTTGTTACTAAATTTTTACATTTCCAAGTAGAATATCTATTAATGCTTATTAAAATAAACATATTTACTTAACGTTGTGATTAGAAAAGTATTAAAGTAATTGTAAGCATTAATTCCTGACTGTAGAGCTTATTAAGCTCCACCTACTATACACCTTTTTTGAGAAAGTAGGACTCCAGCATTGTTAACTCTAGGTAAGCTTTATTGTAAAGCGGTTTAAATGCTCTGAAAGTTCTAGCATTCTGACATTTATTTTCAGGACTGTCCCAACTATGACATCCGAAGACAAGAAGGAACACTCTATAAGTATGACCAACGAAGCTTCTAACTATAACATGACTTCCGATTACGCAGTACATCCAATGAGCCCTGTCGGCAGAGTGAGTTATTTTTGCTTACTGTTAATAATTGATAGCTGGTATAATTGATAGTCAGTGTCTTGCTATGACTCAGTAGATTTTATATTTATAGAATAATTATTTCATTTTTATTATTACACGAACCTAATTACATTCGCAGTAATTGACATAAGCAATGGCCTAGAATATAAAATAATAAGATTATGTGTTAATAATGCAATGACTTAAATTTTCAAAAATATTACAGAGTTCAGATTTCAAATAATTCTACAAATGTAATGGATGCTTGTGTGAAAGAATGGCAATTTATTGAATCAACTTAAGTTTTAAAGATGAAGATTAATATAAGGGCCTAGAAATTCCTTTTAAGTACACCTGGAATGAGCCGTCAATCTCTTTAAAAATAAATGTAAATAATTATATAATTTGTAGTTCTTATATAATATAAAATGCTAATAGGATAACTGAATATTAGAATGCTTCATTAATAATTTTAATTTAAATCTAGAAAAATTGTAGGTGGATTAGGGTCCACTAAGTCATTGTCTAGAAAGAAAGTGGGATCGATGCCTCATACTTTACAACAAAAAATTTTCCAGGTAGGTCAGGTATTGAAATGTTAATGAAAACAGTGAAAGGTTTGTTTGGTTTGGTTGGTTGTTTGTAAGAAAGAAAGAAAGGTCCTGGTCAGTGTGGCTCAGTTGGTTGGGTGTCATCCCATGTACCAAACAATTGCTGGTTTAATTCCCAGTCCCAGCACATGCCCAGGTTTTGAGTTCAATCCCCAATAGAGGGTGTGCAGGAGGCAGATAATCAATGTTTCACTCTCACATTGATGTTTCTCTCTACCTCCTTCTCTCTTCCCCTTTCTCAAAAAAAAAATCTATAAAAAATATTAAAGAAAGAAAAGGAAAAGAAGAAATTCAGAATGTGAATGGGCTTTCTAAAAATGATATAAAACTCAGAACTTAAATGGAGAGTTTCAAACATATAAAATTATCATGCATGCATATATCTGCAATCCGTGTAACAAAGAATAATTCCTTTATAATTAAAGTGGTGCTATGAATCAATAAATAAAAAAAAGGCTTACACACCCAGTTTTTAAATAGGTAAATATGTAAAATCACTTTTTACATATTTAAAAATCACATTGAAGGGGGGAAAATAGCTTTTTTCTAAAATTATGTGAAAAGGGGTATCAGATCTTTCATAATATGAAAAAATGCCAATGGAAACCAGAAAAGGACACGTTTTTTCACTTATTTGATTTACAAAGTTTAAAAGTTTTATAGCACAGACAAGAGTGTAAATAGCCATTTTCTTTACATAGTGAGCTCCAAGAAATAGAGGAGCTCCAAGAATAGTAGATATTATATATTAAATCATTTGAAGGGGGAAAGGGGTGTAGGAAGATATTCCATGGCTATGAAAATAATTATTCGAGGTAAATAAACACAAAGATGCACACACAGTGATTCTTTGGCTGCTTGTGTCCAGAACTGAGAAGGAAGTAGACGGGTCCTGGCGTATATTTTTTGTACCATTTGAGTCTTAGATTATATTTAAACATTAAAAGTAAATTAAAATTTATTTAAAAAAAAAAAAAAAAACACATGCTTTAGGTAAAACAAAAAATATTAATAAAATAAACTAGCTTTAAGATTTAAGTTGGAAATTAAGAGGTCACTTGAAATTACTTACTTTCATACAGAAATTAAAATTCAGCTTCTTTGTTTTTATGTTCATTGGTTTCTACTACCACTTAAGCCAAAATAAATCATTATGCTAAACATAGCAGTATCTTAAAAGTTTGTATATCCTTATGTGTACTTCTAAGAATATAGTAAACACCATCTGTCTGGTATCATTCAAGTTCAGATTTGTCCATGACATTAAGCCTTGTTTTGACTTGATGTGTGATTTGTTTGCTTATGTTTTATATCTGAATATTTCTCTTGTGACCTGCTGCTAATTTTTTGTAGTTGAAACACTATTCAATGTAGATATAATGCATAAGGTTCTGTCTTTTGGCTTATTCGTCAAGATTTGTTAATTTTTATTCAGGGTTCATTCAATTTATGTAACAGGTAGGACAAAATACTGCCATCCCCAGTGCCTTTTTAGAAATTGTATGTCCATCTTTTAAAGAAGAGATTATAAAACCTGTGATCCTTTTGTAATATCCTGGGGGAAGAAGTCTTTGTGCGGAATTATTACACTTGGATGAACTAAGCCAGCAAAAGCAGAATTGCAATAATTCATCTGAAAAGATTTAAGTTCTGCAAGTTTCAGAGGAATCTGAAAAAGAGATTAAAATTGTGAGGATGAAAAATAAGCTCAAATATCTAATCATTAATACCACCTTGTACTTTCTTTTATTTAGACCTCACGGGCTTCGAAAAAAGTTCATAATTTTGGAAAGAGATCAAATTCAATCAAAAGGAATCCTAATGCACCGGTGGTCAGACGAGGTTGGCTTTATAAGCAGGTATTTATTTTTTCCTATTTGATGTGGGAAAAGGACAGAATAGAGGGGACTTTTCTGTTGAATGTCCATGAGACAGTGCTGTAAAATGGAGAAGGGCCTGGAGGATCCACCCAGTTTCTTTCACTGCTGTTAACACTGAGGATGTTAGGGGAACAAATGAGGCCAGAAAGGGACCGTAGTTAGAGCAGGGACCGTGTGTATGTCATAGGTAGGTCTAGATTTGAAGTTAAATATATGCTGTATGAAATAGGAATAACATGCCAAAATTTGGCAAGCAGAAATATTTTTTAAACTGAGAAGAAAAAACAAACAAACATCTAGAGATAGTGTTCATTTTTCTGTTCATATAAAAATCATTAGAGAAATATATAATTATAAACTTAATTTATAGAGAATTTAAGACTTTTCTGATTTTCTTCCAGATTTTTGCTTCTATGCTTTCTAAATGCTGTTTTGTTTTTCTCTCTTTTCTTTTTCTTTCCTTGTTTTATAATTGAAACATGGTTAACACCCTGATAAGTTGGGCTATATATTGTTCTATTGTCTGGGAAATTTGATGCCTAATGTTTTTGGAACTTGGTCATATGTATTGGAATTATAAGGATGCGTGTACATTGGGCTTCATGACATCCATTTTGACTGCATATAGGCTGCTGGGTTTTTTTTAATTTAATTTTTGGTTTGCAACTAGGTTTCAGCTAAATGACCACCAGCTACCTGAGATGATGCATTTGGCATTTAAGACCTTTGTCTGGTTTTGTTCTGTCTCTGATCCTACATGTATACAGGTGATACAGAACAAATTAAATAATAGTTCATTGGCCGTGTATAATTTGTTCTGTCAAATAGTGCTAATTGCTTTCAGATGACCTAATCATTATATTCTTAAAATTAATAATGAATTTAATATGAAGTATTCATTAAATGTTGTTCCCTCTGAAAGATGGTTGGCAGCTAAGCTAATGTATTAGAAGAGGACCATCTTAAAAATCCAAAGAATCCCCAAATTAGTTTTGCCAATTCCTTACTCCATTGATTGGGTATGTAACTTTGGTTCAAGTTTCCATTTTTATTTAAAGATCATTTACTGCCAAAACCGGTTTGACTCAGTGGATAGAGCATCGGCCTGTAGACTGAAAGGTCCCGTGTTCGATTCCGGTCAAGGGCAAATATATACGTTGGTTGCGGGCACATCCCCAGTAGGAGGTGTGCAGGAGGCAACTGATCGATAATTGTCTCATCGATGTTTCTAACTCTCTATCCCTCTCTCTTTCCTCTCTGTAAAAAATCAATAAAATATGTTTGTTTTTTTTAATAGTTTAAAAAAAAAAAAAACTGGCCTCTTTCTTTTCCCCTTTCCATCTTTTTCATATCCATGTTTTCATATTTTCTTGCAATCTTGCTTTATTCTAAATGGGACATGTGGGAAGATATATTTCATTAAAATTGTAATTTTGTTTGAGCTTGGTATTTTTATGAACTAAATTATTTAGAAAGAGCTGCCAAATAGGCACTCTTTTCTGCCGAATGAGCAAAATGCAAACCGTATACGTAAGAAGAAAACTGTGTTTGTGAAATGTATTTATATGCTGAGGTTTCTTTAGCACAGTCATTTTAAATTGCCTGGCATACTTTCCTACTGTTGATGATTAACATATTTATTAAATCCGGTTTACCAGAATGCACGCACTGCTGCATGGTTCCATGATCCTTAGGCTCGCAGACATGTTTCTAGAAGAGTGAATTTCACATTGTTTAAAAAATGTGAAACCAAAACGGATTGCTTCAACAGTATTCCTTTTACAGGACTGTATTACTCTTCAGAGACCAAGTGTACTTTGGAATATCTTTATATGATGCAAGTCCCTAGAAAATTACCCCAGATTTTTTTTTTTTTTTTTTAACAGAGAGGAAGGAAGAGAGACAGTTAGAAACATCAATGAGAGAGAAACATCGATCAGCTGCCTCCTGCACAACCCCTACTGAGGATGTGCCCGCCTCCAAGGTACATGCCCTTGACCGGAATCGAACCTGGGACCCTTCAGTTCGCAGGCCGACGCTCTATCCCCTGAGCCAAACCGGTTTCGGCTCTACCCCAAATTTTTATTACTCTTTCCTTAGCCACACCAAACCTTGTTTTTAAAGCTCGTTGTATACTGAAACCGGTTTGGCTCAGTGGATAGAGCCTCGGCCTGCGGACTGAAAGGTCCCAGGTTCGATTCCGGTCAAGGGCATGTACATTGGTTGCGGGCACATCCCTAGTAGGGGATGTGCAGGAGGCAGCTGGATGAGGTTTCTCTCTCATTGACGTTTCTAGCTCTCTATCCCTCTCCCTTCCTTTCTGTGGAAAATCAATAAAATATATTAAAAATAAAAATAAAAAAGCTCATTGTAAATAAGTGCACCAGAAATGGATCTTAATTTCCTGACACGAAAACAAGTTCTTTTGTTATGCTGATTGAATGCAGGACAGCACTGGCATGAAGCTATGGAAGAGACGCTGGTTCGTGCTCTCCGACCTCTGTCTCTTCTATTATAGAGGTGAGTTCACCACTGTCTCAGTGTGTCATTTCATAATTGGAATAGAATATATCTTAAGTATAGGATGGTTTTATGTGTGGTTTGTTTGGTTGTTTTTAAGAGAAAAAATTACAGTTCTGTTATTTTATGTCAACAAACAGTATCAAGAAAACCTCTTTTTTTTTTTAAAAAAATATATTTTTATTGATTTTTGTACAGAGAGGAAGGGAGAGAGATAGAGAATTAGAAACATAGATGAGAGAGAGAGTCATCGATCAGCTGCCTCTTGCACACCCCCTACTGGGGATATGCCTGCAACCAAGGTACATGCCCTTG